TCCATGTACAGCTTTCAAAGGACACTCCAGACAACACTGCAGTAGTTTGKCTCCTTCCTTATACACTCCAAGATCATCTTCCTGATGACTACTAGGCACCCTAGCAAGGTGAMGCCATCCTTCCACACACCCAAGCTACAGCTCACAGAACAAAACATGTCATCCTGTCCGAAAGCCTCCCTAYTTTGGAGGCTGCTTGAATTTCAGGGCAGGGGAACCCCCAGTGTCTTGGCATTATGAAAGCATCATACTGGTTTTCAGGAACATTCAAGAGCAAATCCAGTTGGGCGAGGGCAGCGCATTCCTTCTAGAGGACACCAGCACCTCCTTCCAGGCCATCCCAGACAGATCAAGTACTYTGACTACTGAGCACTGATGACTTCCTAGAGAAGCTGAAAGATTGGAGGTAGAGATAGAGGAGCTGATACATAGCTGAGCACATTTTTTTGTTGATTTTAATTTCAAAATATTGTCAATTTTTTTTTCACAGTGATCATTTTGTGGATCCAGAGGTGAAATGTTCACACACACAAAATTATATTGTTGGCAACAATCCTTACAAAAACAGATGTGATATAATAAACATCAGTACTCATTTGACAGAGCAATTCACTTTCTCTCTGACTAAATCCTTTCCCAGAGCTATGCCTGTTAAACAAATAAGAGTAATTAGCAGTGCCCCTGTTTACACACACCAAAAAAAAAAAAAATTTACTTGGTAGAACCAAAATCCAAATTACCTGAATGTAAATTATACTAGAAACCCAAATTAAAATTTAATTATGATCTTCGAATTGTATTACAGTAACCTGCTGGATTTTAAACTGACTTATATTGTTATTTTCAGGGGAATTAMCAAGAATATTTTAGCTTGAATTAACAATAGTACCACAGACCAACTTTTTCTGACATTATCTCACCCTTCCAGCATGGTTTTCTCCATTTATTCAATTTCCTATTCATAATGATTCTCTACCAAAAATCCTTTGCAATAAAATTTATACTAATCACAGTTTTCACTCTCTTTTATGCTTCTTGTTTTCACAAATGCATACATAATTTCCCAAATTTTGCTGAAAAGCCTAGATTGATTTCTGAAAAAAAATCCAAAAAAGCAAACAGAAACCAACCAACCAAACTAACTGCTGAGGAAAAAAAAAAAAAAAAACAAACTCCAGCACTTTATTCCCCCACTTCACTGTGAATTGTTTGATTCTACAGTGACAGTAAATATAACATTATCAATAAGCTACGGAGTTGAGCTTTTTAGTACAAACAGGAGCATGCAAATTTGTTCACAGACATACCTACAGGAARCTCTCTGTCAAGAAGGCAAGAGTGAAAGGTTTACCATCCATCCTATTCTGCTGTTGATAGTGATATCACAGAATAGTTTGGGTTGGAAGGGACTTTACASAACATACAGTCCCAATCCTCTGCTATGGGCAGGCACATCAYTCACTAGACCAGGCTGTTCAAGCCCCATCCAGGCTGGCCTTGAACACTTCCAGGGACTGGGGATTTACAGCTTCTCTGCTCTACATAATCTGAGAGAAGGAAACCAGAGAAGAAACATCATTTGCAACCAAGATAACAAGAAGAGCCTTGGAGCTCCCATTTTAATCTGTCTGAAAAAAATGAGCTGCTGTAATCAGCTAAAAGCTCTGGATTTACTAGCACATGTAAGGTAAAAGAGTTGAACTCTTCAAGAAAGTTACTTAGGTTACAACACCAAAAAGGATATGCAATACCTTGAACATAGGAAATAAAAATATGTAAAAACTTATTTTGCAGGCAACAATTTCTATTTTTTTTTAAAAACCCAAATCTTATTGATCCACAAAAATAAAATAAAAAACTCCAAACCCAAACTTTGAGTCCTTTTTATATTTATTTCATGCTTCACATATTGTTCAATTCTTCATATAGCAAAAAGTGTCTTTTAGGATTTTTAATTATTGAGGATACTCTGTACAGTCCCACCAAAGATGTTCTTGTAGCACGGAACCAGACAGAAAAAAAAAAGTATTTTTGCAACTAACATTTTCAATCAGTCTGAAAGTGATAAATGTTTTAATATATCATGTGACGGGGCTGAGCATGAGTGTGTACTATAGTTTCCAAATCACTTTTACARAAGACTGAAAACAGTCAGGTGTTCTGATTGCTAGGGGTTGCARTAAATAGCTTGGGATTGGTAAATATATTAATTTATCTTGATTATTGACATTTTCAACATTGATATCCTGTGCTATGCGAATGGTAGCACAAACTCAAATTTTAGTTCACATATCCTTCAAGACTACCTTCATATATATACATATATATATGTATACATATATGACAATTTTGCACGGGATGACAGAGGGGTTTTTATTCTCCCTTAAAGATAGATCACCTTTATACAATTGCCACAAAACTAATTACATCTAAAATAATGCATAGGTTTTTGAGCTATTCAAAAATATGTACAGATGGCAATCTCCAGAATCAGAATTTGCATTATTTACTAATATAGGGCTGGTYAGTTTTTATTCCCACTAAGAGGAAAAATGTGAATGGTGCAGTCTTTTTTTTTTTATACATGCAATGAAAATAAGGCAAATACGAGCCCTATAATTTTATTGACCTCCACTGTATACAAATCCATACATCAACCAGCATACCTGCTGTCCTTCAACTGGTGACCCTTGTCCACCCTAAAGACTCAGCCTAAGACACATAAATGAAAGTATTCTTAAACAAGGTATGTCTAAGGTACCACTAAAATAAAGACACAGAGACAATACAATAGAGGCATTTATGCAGCTTGTTCTGAAGACAACACCAACATTTGATAATGGAGTAGCTCCAAGATGCCACCAGCTGCGCTGGCTGTGCATTGTGGTTGCCCACAAGAAGCACCTGAGAAGCCAAAGCACCCACTGCAGCTGCACCACCAGAAAGATGTAAGCTTCCCAGAGTTATTGTAGCTGTCAGCCCCATGGGAACATTCTGGAAGCCCTAATAAAATTAAAATGGTACCCGATGTCCACATTTGAGGAAGCAAATTAAACCTAATAAAGGCAGCTTTGACACCTATTTTTCTAAGTGGATATCGACAAAAAATGTGTGTGTCGTAAGGGTGCATGTGTGTGTCTTACACAAACACATTCCTATGTGCCATCAGAAAAGGTTTTAAAACAGTTTTCCATCTCGCCTCAAAAGAAGGCCTAATATAAAAGATCAGTAGCAAAAAAAGACATTTCTCTTCACATTATGCTTTCAGCCTACGAATGCCTTTAATCACACCTAAACYTTCTAAAACACTAATTTAATCCCCATTTTCTTGTCACTGGTAATTCTGGGTAGATTTTAGTGTTTGTCACTATTTGYTTCATGATATCTGAGATCAATGCCATTCAGAACAAGAACTCTGGCGACTCAAAGCAATGTAATTCTTTCCAAGAGTGAAAGGCTGCTGACCATGCAGCTGTACCACACCTCCTGCTGCCCACTATTTGCAAGGGCAGCACTAGAGAAAGGAATTTTTTTATATTCTTACAATTAAAAAACGGCTTTTCCTTCAAACAGGAAATGCAGAAAAGTCAAAATCAAGACAGTGAGTGTGGTGTAAAAGTATTAGAGGGAAAGGAGGAAATTGGAGCAGAGCAGAAGAATCATATATAAGCTACTACAGTTCTTTTCTCTTGAGTCAATGTATTTCCTCCCTGTCCCTAGCACACAAATGCATGACATGGTAATTAAAATAAATTACAATAACAGAGAAACATTACACTAGGCTACAGAATAAGAAGAACATAGATAAAGTGATACCATATCATTCGTACTGATATTATGCACACAAATAATCAGCACAAAAAAAATTAAATCGCTGACAAGGCTTTAATTCAGATTTCACTTTCTAGACACCTTCATTTGCACAGTACCTGTCTCATCAGGCTTTCCAATTGAAGTGTTTATTTGCTTTTTATCGAAGACAATTATAAAACCTTTACATTAGGACAACCCAAGAAGACAACAATGACAAATGTACTAGTAACCTAAAAATAGTACTCTGATTTGTAAACTGCATACTAATATTGACTGTGTTAAGAATTATCTGTCATGTTTAAAACTAGAGTTATTAAAAGCTGCATTTTGAAGGGATTCCTTTAAAATAAACTTGGTATGCCTTATCTCAACTTGCAGAGTTAGTAAAAACTACACAGATTATTTAAAAAAAATGAGGCTAGCTATAGATATTTTGAAGTAAGGGGGTAATTTCAGCTAATTTCACCTTCACTAGTTAACTTGATATTCAACCCTGAACACAATTTACATATGTGTGAAAAAAAAAGTAATTTTTTAATTCTATATCGCTGATCACAAAAATACTTTCATTTTAATTCTCTGCGTTCAACTGAGGTGTTCACAAACCTGGAAACAAAACCTTAAATCTAGAAACTTATTACATATGTGCTTCACCATGTCATTCAGCATCTACTTTAAAAAGAAAGTTTAATTGTTGATAAAAATGCTAGACGTAGTCAAATTGCCAAAAGGATATTACTTTGCCAGGAATTTTATTCCGTTACAGACAGGCAGCTATCCAGCAGAGAAAATGCGCAGCCTGACCACTGACAGTGGTGTAAGTCATTCCCGTTTCACAGCGGAGTAACTCCAGCAGCGCTGGACGCAGCTCGGAGGCTCTCCCCAGCCTGCAGGGTTCGCGCTGTGCCTGCCCAGGGGGACTGGAAGCAGGATGACCCCAGCCGAAACTGGCTCGCTCTRCTCTGCGCGATACCGAGCGGAAACGGGTGGGCACAAGGGGCTCTTAGGCAGGTGTCGGGGTATTCCAGTGCCCACAGCTCCAGAAGAGCGTTTTCTCTCTTGAATAAGTGTCCAGGCAGCCCCGATATCGCTACGGAGCCCGCGGGGGACCCGAGGTGACCATCGCCGGGTAGGACCCGCGGCGGCACCAAATTCAAACCCCTCCTGCCCCGCARGCTCTGCCTTACCTGCCCGCGGGTACTCCGGGACGCCGCCGAGCGGGCCGAGCCGCCGCTGCTGGAAAACTTTCCGGACCGCCTCGCAGCTGGGCGGCGGCTCCGCACCCTCCGAAGCGGCGGCCAGGAGCAGCACGCCGAGGCTCAGCACGCCGAGGCGGAGGCTCTTCTCCCCCATGGCCCGCCAGCGCCGGCAGCCGCCGCAGGGAGCGCGGCCGAGGCGCCCCGAGCCGGGAGGCACCGCCCGCCGCCCCTCCGGGACCCTCCCCCGGCCCGGCCCCCGCCCGAGGAGGGGCCCCTGTGCCGGGAGCGGGGGCGGCAGCGGGAGGGGCTGGGCTGGGCACCGGCTGTTTGGGGAGGAGAGGAGAGGAGATTCCCCCCGCATATACCCGGGGTGGTGCGAGTGCCGCCTGCGGAGTAGGAGCCCACAGGGATAGGAAGCRATGCCACAATAGAGGAGCAGTTTCGACCCAAAAACACGCAAAAAGGGAAAGATTAAATTTGTAGTGCTTTGGGGAACTACTTCCAACYGAGTTAACACTGTCAGTAAGGTATGCCATTTAGTTTGGCTTGAAATGCCAAACTTTTGCTTTTCTGACAAAAGTTTCCAAGAATTCGGCAGTCTTCAAGWCATCTTGAAAAGTTTCAGTTCCTCAGGCAGAAACGACAGGGGACAAGTTTACAGAACCCTGTCCCGTCTATAAGCTGAAGTCCGATGGGAACTGTTAGAGCAAYCAAGGAAACAGCTAGGACGCATCAGGTTATCTTTAGAATAGCTTCCTTGCTGCCAAAATAAAGAATCCTCTCCACACACAGATTTTAAGTGTCACACCTTACTCCTTAGAGCCAGAAATTTTTCTTAGTGCATTTTGAAGCTACCAGTGGTCATTCAGAACTGTAAAACATAAGGCTTTCAATTTAAAAGAAATCTTTAATCCCTGTCAGCAATTTCAACACAAGACTGCAAAACTAGTTCTAAGTGTCTAAGGATTATTCTACGCATTCATTTGAATATAAAAAACTAAGTGAAGCATACGTTATTCAAATTTGCACTAGAGATAAACCATTCTGCTACTGAGCAAAGCAATAAGAGAATGTCATCAACATTATCCAGACTACTGAATGACARTTCTTAAGAAGGGGAGAGGACTAGTATTTCTGAATTGTCCATACTCCAGATCTTTCAACTTCCTTCSGTCAGCAAGCTCCAACATGTATTACATGAAATGTCCTTCAACAGAATTTGTTCTACTGTTCTTATACCTTGATGTACAAAGAGTGAACACATAACAGCCTACAATCTTCTTGATAAAACAAACTACAGCAAAAGGCATTTTAGACCCTCCATGAGGAAAATAGGGGGAAAAGAAAACAGCAAGTCTACTGCAAATAAAAACATTTGGTTTAGATTAAAAACAAAAGAATTTAAAAATTRCCAGTCTTCTGTGGAAGCTGAGAGTAGGCAGTGAACCCCTTTTCAGTCAGTAAAATACTCTTTCTTAAACAAAATACATTTTAAAAGTATTGAAAAATATTGCTGGGTTAAATATGGGAATATGGGAGCCAGAGAGCATAGGCTCTAATGCAGCAACTTGAAGATGGTAGGGCAAATTCTGAGAATGATGAAATGCCATCCTCAACACCTAACACAAGGTGTGCAGCACACTCATAGTAAACACATGAAAATAAAGTATCAGTATTCAGGGAAAAAAATTTGCAAATTAAGAAATACAGACAAGTATTCCTACTTAAAAGATTTGTTCTTTACCTCATAAACACATGGAAGTTTGCCTACAGCAACAGATGATGTTGGGAAATCTCTAGAAYCCCATTGCTTCAATTTGAGTCAGTACTTTCTCATGTCTTCCACTCAGAAGACAATTCAGAGTAACCTCTATTTCCAACTCTACAAACTAAGGGGAAAAGGAGATTTTTGGTAAGAAATTCAATGTACGTATTTTAACTAGCTCTTTCAAAATGAGTAAATTCTAATTTAGTCCAAAAGGTGAAGTGCGTTTTTGTT